TTCTTAATGTAAACGCTCTAGCTCACAACAACACACCATCTGGTGAACAGCGGACGAAGTTAAAGTAGAGGTAGAAATAACTGAATTATTTAGAAATTTAAAAAATATATAAATTGCCAGCAGGTGTTTCTTGCTCCTTTGCCGTTTTAGCTTCAAGACAATAGAGAAACGCCGATGAGGGAACGTAAAACATTTGGGAGTTATGGGAAGTCCTCATTCGGAATCCGGCTAAACTGTCGGTGCATGGCAGATGTAAATCACAAAAACCCTGTACGATCACACCCCCGTGGATAGAAATAGCTAGATGAAACATGCCACTTAATGGCTCGATAAAAACTAAAGTAAAATGCCATCAGTTGTTGAGTAAATTCCCAGAGGCAGTAAAAGCGACTGCTGCCTCTCTGGAGTGTGTTGCTGTGTGTGTGTGTGTGTGTGTGTGTGTTTACCCTCATGTTTGTGGCATGTCATGCTTGAGCAGGATTGCTGCAGTCTCCTGGGAGCTACAGGAGTGCTCGGTACAGGTGATTTATTCCTCCTAATCTGTCCTGCACAGTAGCAGGCGGCCGCCTTCCCTCCGCCCAGCATGGGTGAGGTGCTATCAGCTCGCGTGATCATATTAATAGTCACCTGCGGTCGTTATCGGCCCACATATCTTCGACGTGGCAGCTCCCCGTTCGGCGGCACCTGGCCCTCATGCCGGGGGCCGACGCCCTGACATCCATGAGAAGTCATCTTTGTGACCCCAGAGCCAAGTCAAGGGCACTAACAATCCCCACCGATGCCATCGCCTTGATTAGTTATTCACTCTCCGCCCCCACCCATCACCCTGTAATGTATGCTGTTGTAATCTGACTGGAAACGCTTGAGTTGCGTGCCAGATGTTGTTTTTACTGGGCATTTATGAAAGCTGTTTGACTCACCTCAGTGAAGTCCTCTTACGCTTAACATGCAGGGAATGAGGACGTCGTCATCTGCCACTGTTGTGTACGAATAATGCTATGTATGTAAGTATTGATAAGCGGCTGCAATATTTGAGATGTCATGACCCTGACGTGTACAGTTTAGTTTGACAGGTTCCTACAGAAGGTGATTTATCAAAGTCAACTGATCTGTTCAGACCTGATCTTCTATTCTCGTTTAGTTTGCACAGTTTGCACGACTAAGCCAGCTGTCGCGTTATTAAGTCAATTGTACAATTGTGGGAGTCACTTCTCCATTAAATGGTTGTAAGCATGAAACTCTGATGTCTTTGACATGAACATGTACTGAAATACCCAGAAATGAAGAACACAACAGGGGTGTTGTTGTAAATAACTTGTCAGGCCTGCACCCTTCTTTGTATCTCATCCCCCCCACCCCCTCCACACACACATACACACTCACACACAATGTCAAATACAATTCAATTTCTGCCTCAGCATCAGCTCGGGGTAACACGGTCAAGCAAATGCCTATTTTCTGAATGGCCTTGGGGAGTTATGCTTTTCAGCTTATCAGCTTTTATTAACCTTAGCACTGAAGTTTGCTCTTTGATTTAGATTCTTCGGGAAACACCGAAATTGGATTTCTTTTTTCTTTTTTCTCTTTTTTTTTCCTCGAGTCTCACTCCTGCTGTGACATATGCTCAACAGCTTGTTTCACAGAGGAGGAAAAAAAAACAACCGAAAAGCTCGCTTTGGTTTGTAACTGGCAATATTTTATCATGAGAGACGATAATGACTTCTCTAGTTTAATTCATTTCTTTTCATTCAGGTGTCTTTAAGAGCACGTATGCATTAAATGTTATGGCCAGTAGGAAATGTTTGAAAAGTTTTTTTTATTTTATTTTTTTGTTTTTAGATGAATGACCAACCAATAGGGTTATGAAGGCCCACTTTACTCCTCTGTTTACGGAAATGTAATATATAAAGACTGAATGCACATTAAGCAGTTAAGCTTAATTAAAAGGAAGATAATTAAGTCATACTGCACAGACCAGGCCTGCTAGACCCCTGTCACACGCAGTGTCGAGGAAAACAAAGTGTGAAGCTTTTGAGAACTGCCCTTTGCATGAAGTGTGTACTTTCTCTTTCATTTTGCTTGGCAAGAAATTGTAGACTCCCCCCCCCCCCTGACTGGGCTCTGGATTATTAGCTTAAGCTCTCTAAAAATATCCCTTTGACTGTTTAAGCCTCTGACAGCAGCAACATCTCACACATTCTGATAGCTTTATACTAACGATGGCTGCAGAGGGCTCATGCACTCAGCCCGCCTTGTTATCTTTTACCTTGTTTGCCCGAGGAGGAGAGGGAGGAGAATTTACGGAGAGGCCCACGAATTCTGCAACAGTCCTCTCTCCTTTTCGGAATCTGACTCGGAGCGGATCATCAAAAGGCGAGCATGCAATCACAGCAATCTCCGAACAAACGACATGCTTTTTTTTTGGGCACGAGAGGATTTTGCCCAGATGTCACTCGAAGCACTCGGCATTGTTGCGACAGCTGTAGAAGCACGTGGACCGTCACTTGAAAACCGTCTCCCACAACATACCGAAACAGCACACGTCAAATGTGAAACACACACAGCCTGAAACATGAGATTTTTGAATATTAATGCTGTAAACCCCTTGAGAAAATGTTACTTGTATGCCTATCATTTCAGTTTTATTGACTTGCCTGTGTAGTCCCGGTAATTGCATATTTACCACCATACAGTATTTATCATACCAATACATTAATATATTAGCTTTAGCTGAGCTTACAGTACCAAATATTTTTGATGGTGGAATTCACAACAGCTCATAGAAATTAATAAATTCCTAAAAGGGATTACGCTGTACACATGTGGCTCATAGACATCGCTTCAATTATCTTTTCTTCCAACACCCACACATCTCTCCAAAGACTTTTCTCACAAATATTATCGCTGCTAACTAGAGAGAGACGGAGGTCGAGATAGAGGCAACAGCACCATCGTTAATCCAGCCTTCATTCAGTCGTCTCTTTTAAATGCTTCCAGAGGAAATATCGCTGTTTTGACAAGACATTTTCCGAGCTGCTCCGGTCCCTGTGAGACGCTCACTGGTGATGGAACCTTCCTGAGGAGAAAAGTCAATATGTGGTTGTAAATAAATGAAAACAAATGTGAGACCTAAGCCTTCAATAGATTGAAAAAAAAAGGCGAAGGGAGGAGAAATACTCCTCACCTTTACTCATTATAAAACCGCTTCTTGACTACAGCGGCTAATTGACTAGCCTCTTGGCCCCTGTGTGTGTTGAAGGAGTAGTAGGGGGGGTGATGAATTGACATATTGCTGGCGCTGGGTTGTTGATCCAAGCGAGGAGCCATGAGGCTTCCCTCCAGGGACCAGTAACCTCATTGTTCCATGTCATCTCCTCCCCTTCTGTTTGAGGACCAGGTTGTCAACCTCTCCCCAAGGTCACGCAAATACCAGCCCCCCTTCTGCAGATAATTGGATTGTTTAGAATCATAGTATCAACTTATTGCCCCGTCTGGGGTCAAAAGTGAATTTAGTGCACGAGGTTGTCCGTCATGATTTGTGGCATCGTTCTAAACCGACAAGCAACAGCTTCTGTCTCCAGTTAAAGGATGTTACCAGTGGGGTTTTTGTTTTTTTTCATGTTTTGGCCTACAAATCACACATTGGACATCACAGCTGACCATATTGCAAACCATGCTGGTGTGTTTTAGGATTGTTGGATGTATTTTCCACTATTCCAAGCATACTTTGGCTTCCTTTCATTTCTGTACAATGTGGGGAATTAATTAGCAGGCCCTGAAACGTCCCAAAAACACTGGTAGATTGTTTACTTTATTACATGTTTGCTGAACATATTCAAATGGATGATGCGCAGTATACTGTAGCATTGTGTTGTTATATATATTTTCCTCCAATTCCAGGCATCCATTGATTACCATTATTCTCAAATCGATATTAAAGAAAGCAATTAGCAGACTTGAAACATATCCCCAAGTTTGTTGCCCTGCTATTCGTGCATAACTTTTCATGTGTAGGCAGTAAGCTGTTGGTTTCCATTCATTTTAATACAATTGGAAAATGAATTGGAAGACTCTTGAAACTTCAAACTCTTGAGTTTTGTAATCTGATAAATCTGGCCAATTCAACTGTAATGCAAAGCAGCAACATTCCTCGTAATGGAGACTTGACGTTCACCGTTAACATTTCACAAGTTTCAAGAGTATAGTGATATTTTTTCAATAATGTATGGAAACCAAAGGCGGCCTGAAATGGTAAATATATCTGAAATTCTAAAACTACAGCATCTATTTAAACAAGTTAAAGTTATCTCGAAGACTTTAAGCTTTGTTCTGTTTTTGTTCTACAGCGATACTAATTGCTGGTGTGCTATTTGGATCTCACTTCCCAGAAATCCAAACAGTGTCGCCTTTCTCGGGAACGTCGTCCGTTCATGATACTGCACATGCAAGGTCTTTATTCAGCCATTCGCTCAATTGCATTTGTGTTATCTAATTCGGCCATAAATAAGACTTAACAGACATTTATTTAAATGAACATCTTTGAGATAATTACTGTAAGCCTCAATGTGAAGTTTACATGATATGTAGCTAAGGAGCTAAATCCTACGTAAACACTGGTGTGGGCTTTTACAGTGCACCTGTTAGCATGCTGAAGAAAGATGGTGGGTGTTGAATGCCTGCAGTGTTGGGGATTCCCACAGACCAGCACATATTCACGGTTTCAGTGGCGGTTTTGTGGCTGGAGGCTGACGTGGTGTTACCCCTCACGCTGCCGTGGTAAGAGGAGATGAAGTTGGGCAATAGATTAAATGGGTGGGCTGCATGACTATTAAATCAGGGGGTTGGCAGAGCAACACTAACTCAGGTTACCTCTTCTCAAGTAACACGGCCGCACATGCGAGGAGCGGAGGCGAGCGAGATGTCTTTACCTCGCGTCCGGAGTGTGACACTGTGTGTAATTAACTGCTCATTTGTGTGTGTGCTTTTTTCTCTTCTTCTAGGAGGCGGCCACATTTGCCAAAGAGCTGGGCTTTGAGGTGAGTTGACCAGCAATCGCCCACTAAACAGATCCTAAAGGTTTATTTTTGCTGATAATGAAGTTCTTTTTGGACAGTGATTGATGTGCTATTATACTCTCCAGGCCTTGCAGCAGTTGCTATGGAAACCTGGCAGTCGTCATGGTTTCTTTGTTCAGCCAGCTCTCTGTTATGACGCACTCTGCTAGGTCTGCACCCAACATCGCCTACAGATGTTATTTATTGAATTTTGAAAAGCCTCTTGGGAAGCTGAGAAGTTGGGCATGGTTTCAAGCCTTTCTCCGCAGGCTCGGGGCTCATCAGGTTGCCTGGTTAAAAAGCCCGCTCATTATCTTCACTGCACTCCGGGATGATACTGTATGTCTTCACTGCTGTGGCATTACACCACGCTGAAACACACTGTTGTCTTTTAATAACCAAATTACAGCCACCTGTGGTTTTAGATTATGGAAATGAAGATTACAGTGCTTGTTTCCCCATAGAATGTGCTTTAAAGTGGGGCTGCCTCTTAACGTGTGAAATGAATGTTCCCTTGGTCTATTTTCTGCTCGTCTTTTGCATATTCCCCTCGCTGCCTTTTAAATGTGAAATCAAAAACACAAATAGCCGCTGCGTGTGTGTGTGTGTGTGTGTGTGTGTGTTTTAAATGGGCTCAGGTATTTTAAGTGCCTTCTCTCTTTCAAAGGTAGAGAGCTGCCTTCAGTGTGCCTCTGCACTGTGTGAATAATTGTCATCCAGAATCACTAACGGTGTGATCAACGTGACTGGAATAGAAATGCAATCCTGATGGCAGTGACAGGTTTAAGAGAGGAGAAGGGATGAAGGCAGGAAAAGAAGAAGGGGGGGGGGGGGGGGGGGGGGGGGGGGGGGGGGGGGGGGG